ACTAAATTGTTTAGTCCGAGATTTAGTCATCTGCTGGTAGACACCACCATTACTAAAGGATAGTGACTAAATCTTGAACTAAACAACCACCTAAAGGAATCCTTTAGTCGGTCCCTTAGTCGCTCCGGTAGAGACCGGCCTAAACACTTAACACCTTTTTTAGTTAAAACCGCGACTAGCGCGGCTACGGTTCAAGTCGCGATATTGACGTCATCGGGATACATGTACTTCCATCTACTTGCTGCTCTACGGTTAAACCCCCATTTTGAGGGGGGCATCGGTTTGAGAACTGCTTCAGGTCTTGCCGGGAGTGACGCGTGACCCTTCACTGTCTCATTTTTTCTCAAGATCTCGAGCCCAACCACAACCAAGCAAAAGATCCTTGGGAAGACAGAGGGTGGATGGGACCACAATTGAAGAGAAACCTGGCGATACAACACACAAACAACCATGAGCAGCCATCGACATTCTGTTTTGCTAATCTTGTTGGCAACTGCTTTGTTCACTTGCTTTGGAGTGTATCGAATCAAGCAAGTGACTTTATTGACCGACGGGATCTTTCACGCCAAAGAACACCGTCAACGCGAGGAATATGAATATCAGGCATTTTTTGCTCCCAATGGCGGACAGCCAAGGGAGTCTGTTCTGGACCAGAGAAGACAACAAGTCTCGACAGAACCAATGATCAGGGAACGAAATATTACCAAACGTGATCAGCCACAGCTCTTTTCCTACAAGAGTCGCAGTATCCGTTCTTGGGGTTGCGAGAGACGCACGGAACGACCTTTTATTTTTGTACACTGTGGAAAATCGGGTGGTGGCAATGTGAGGAAACGGTTGGCGTCCAGTGCCTTGGGATTTAGTGAATCCTACTCAAATTGGCACAAGGCTCTGGAAGATCCCCACTATCATTTTCCCATGCTAGATTCCAAGGGAGAAGTCGTCAAGGGATCCTTTGTCAATTCACACTTTCCAAATTACCGTCCGTCCTACAATTCCACACACCCGGATGCCACCGCAGAAGCGTGGGAAACATTTGAAGGAACGCTTCCTTGTGCCGCAGAAACACCCCTGGGACAAGCATTGGCGTGTCCGCTATTAAAACGCACTGGACCTGCACGATTAGCCTGTCACCAAGGCTATTGCAACATTGTCTATGCAGGACACAACTATGTCGGCAATGAGTTGCACTGGCTCCCGAATCAGTTTTTGGCGCAGTGGTGGGAGAAAAAGCACAATTCTACAACCAAGGTGGATTTGTACAAAGACTTTATGAAACGCATGAAGGATTGGAGTCCTCCCGAACGAAAAGCACCATGCTATATGCCAATCCATTTCAATCGATCTCTACAACTATCACGGCACTACCGAAGTCGTTACGCCAAATGCGTCCAACCCAAGGAACAAAAGTGGGATCAAATGGCACACGACATTTTCGGTACCAATAATCAAACCGTCACCGACTGGTCTGCCATTTATGCATCGCTTCCAGTGTTGCGAGTGACGTTGCTCCGAGAACCACTCAGTTGGCTCGTGAGCAAATTCTTTTGGCACTCTCGAGAGCCAGGATTTTTAATGGGTATCAGTGGCACGAGGTACACGTATGATACGCTCAAACGATGCGACAATAATGATCTTTCGGCGTCGATAACAACAACTGGTAGTACTACCGGTAGTGGGAAGAAGAAAGATGGGATGGATGTCGTGGTGGATTGGGTCTCGCATGCATCACTGGGATATATACATCAACTGTGCGGGGAAGACTGCGTGGTGAGGATGCATCATGGCACCATGACATTGAAAGAGGCCGAAGTGCAGGCACGCCGCAATCTACAACAAAGTTTTGCCGTTGTGGGGTTGCTGGAAGAATCAGCAACATTCTTTGACATGATCACGGCCCGGGCCCAGTACATGAACACTTCCTTGCATCCATCGATTGAGGGGGAACCGCACAAGTCTCGGCCGGGGGAAGGTATGGAGGACAGCCAAGACAGATGCAAAGAACTCTTCGCGCCGGACACTTCATTTGCCCAGACCCTTACCGAGCGATCGCCGCAACTGGCCGCGTTGAAGCGATTGTACCGTGTGGGAGTTACTGTCAACCGGCACCAAAAGGAAGAGTTAGAGGAATGCGGAAGCTTGGAAACGACCAACACAGCAACATAATAATAGCGAAGAAAGCTACGGAACATGGCTGGTCACCCGCAAAAGCTACGGGCGGCCTCCAACAACAAAGAAGGACTGGCACCAGAGGCACTTTGCTTCAGTTTGTCAAAGGCTGCCTATCCCTTGTCGAGGTTCAGTGGATCCGATACTTTGGCCAGTGACTACTACTACGCCCTGTTTTTGAAATGTCACTTGATCTGGCGTGTCTGCGGCAACTCACTGCTGCGACGATTGATCTGATCCATGATAGCTACAAAAGTAATATCCGGGCAGAATCTCCCCGGCCACCCGCCTGGTGACTAGCTAGCTAGGCATTAATGGAACTATCTTATTTCTTTGCCTTCTTCTTCTTTGCCCTTTTGCTTTTGGAGCCTCCTCCAAAACCCCCAGGAGCCCCAAAACCAGTCTTGGCTTTAGGAGCTGCGGTTTTCTTTTCTGGCTCTCCTTCTGCTTCTAGTGGCGGCATTCTCCTTGCTGTCAAAGGCGGTGGTTGCATGATTTTCAACTGATCTGGGTGTGGATCAATGACTGCATCCTCCTCTGGATACAAGCCCAGCAACTTGTCAATGTTGGCCTTGACAGCTTCCCTGTCTTCGGGTGGGAATCGATCCCAACAAAGAAGGCCTAACAAATGGTCGTATTCGTGTTGAAACACCCTGGCCTCGAACCCCTTGAGGCGTCTTCGAATCTGTTGTCCCAATTCATTCTGGTACACTACTTGAATCCACGAAGATCTAGCGACAGAACCAGGACAATCATCACTCCGAAAACTGAGGCATGCTTCTTCCTCCACCTCTGTCTCCGTGCTGGTGTTGGTGATAATAGAGGGTGAGAATTGATAAAACTACCGGTACATGTAGAAGCCATTGTTTACATGTAGTGCCAAGGCAAGTGCTTACCTATACTCGACAATTTTGGGATTGCAGACAACTCGCTCCATGGCTTTGACTTCGGGGTCACCGCTGGGGTTATACACAAACATCATGTCATTGAGGCCCACCTGGGGTGCTGCCAGTCCAACCCCATTGGCCTGGTACATGACAGATATCATTTCCTCTGCTAGGCTTTCTAATTCCTTGTCAAACCTTTCAACAGGAGCATTGGGGACACGCCGCAACGCTGGGCGAGGGAATTCTGTAATGACAAAGTTGGATCCATCAAATGAGGTTGGATTCATTCGCATGTAAAGGCCACAGTGATGATTGCTCTGGCTGCTGCTGCCATGCCGCTGTGGAAGCAATTTCTGGTAATGAACCAGGGCTTGTCCCAGGTTTATCAGCATCAGCAACAGCAAAAGGGCAAGGAACGGTTGACGAGGTAACATGGTGGTCTGTGGGAAGTGCCGAAAGCTTGGTTCCCTGTTGCTCCATCGGGTGGGTTGTGGGAGCTGTTGAGGACTCTTTGGATCTGGGATCTGGGGCTCATCGGGTGGTGTCAAGCTTCTAAAATAAGCTAGTTGAGCTGTGTACCGTTTCAAATCGAAGTCCAGACAACACAAAACCCCACAACAGCACTTACTTCCCCTGCTGGGCTGCCCCGCCCATCTCCACTCCCTACTCCTGGTCAGGACGAAACCTGGAAACGCACCAGGTCCAACACTAAGACCTACTTCTACCCTACTAAAAAGCAGCAGTTCATCTCCAGGCCCACGTCTAGACCAACTCCTGGGCCGACTCCTGGTTCGTTTCCACTCAGGCCCACAGGCCTACGCCTGATCCAACAAGAACTGGAACAACCAGCACTGAATACCAGGATCCTTCACTCTAGCTAGCTAGACTCCACTTCCAGACCAACTCCAGAACCAACAACTGGAACCTTCTTTAGGGCTCATTAACTAATGCTGAACTTACTTGCTTTTACTTCAGATCCAGGGAAGGCTGATGTTGATCATTCGAAGTCGTAACGGTGGGAATTGCGAATTTTGACGCCGTTTGGCCTCATTCAGTCTGGGCTACTAGTACCCGTAGACTAGATAATCAAACCTGGATTTTACCAATCCATCTGGCCATCTGGCCACAGATAGCATGCTTCTGGAGCAAATCAGAAACGCAGAAACAGCTGTACCAGTACTACAATGTCGTAGCTAGCCATCCCACTGGTATGCATGTATCATGACATTGTATGCAGATGCATACTGGTAACTGGTAATGATCAAAAAATAAATAAATGAACTGAGCTTTGAAGCTTTGAAGCTCCTTTTGAACGTTTTGGTCCGCTTTACTGCGCAGATCTACAGTGTCATAGATATGGATCGGTACTCCCGAAAGTGCAAGTGTAGTCATGTTGTGAAGTATTGTGAATGTGAGGTTTTAAAGAATGACCCCGAGTCGCATCCGGTACTGTTAAGTCCCAAGAATCAAGTGTCATGATCATTAAATAGATTAGTTTCCACAGGTCATCATTTCAGGTTAAAGGAGAATACTCAAGTACTAGCTAGCTAGTAGTTTTAAAGTTGAGCTTCAGAGAACTCCAACAACTGGCAGCAAGGTTCGAGGTCTGCAAATTCAACGAAAGCAGTCAATTCCCCAACTCCATGAAAGATACATGTACTTTAGGACTCGACCCATCAGATGAGCATGCCTGATGTAATTCCATCATCCTTGGTCACGAAGAATTTACAGCAGTAAAAGTTTGGGGAGGCAGGGCATTTATCGAAGGAATGGCACCGTGACCAACCGACGACCAGGTCCCCACCGTTCTCCAAGACACGAGAGACTGCTTAGCTCTGCTAACAACAGCAAGAAAGCAAGCACCAGAACTCCAGCAACCAGCAATCAATACGCAGAAGCACGAAGCAGACCAAGCTATCCAGACAAGCCATTGTTTGTAATACAAGAGAGAAGAGATCAGAGAGAAGAGAAGACAAGCAGCACCATGGTGACCAGTACTACTGCTAAGAAACCACACAGTTATATGGACAACGAGGGGAATCTGCAGTCGGCTCCTCGCGGCAAGAATGATTTTGGAGAGGGGTTCCGCATGTGGGCCGCAGCCAGTAACGACGGCGGCGAGAATTCCTTCTTGTCGAGAGGTGTGATTATGGAGTACCTGGAAAAGAAGAAGGACGGGAAAATCAGTGGGGACATGCATGGCGGAGGCGACAAAAACTCCAAGGGCAAACCGCGGAAACTCCGGAGTATGGATGGCAGCAATGGGCGTCGTGGTGGTGGCGGCCGAGCGCAATCACATCAATCACATCATTGCGAAATTGACGATGAAGGACTAGAGGTACACGAAGAGCAACCAAAGCCAAAACGCTCGTACAGGACTCAACGAAAAGACCCCACAGTCCACAAGTTTGGAAAGAAACAGTACAGAATCGGAATGCAACCGCATCAAAATTCCGATGGGATCATGATGACCAGATCCAGCACGAAATAGCAAGCAAACACACGGCTTTTTTGTTGTCAGTCGGTATGGAATAGCAAACAATCATCTCTTAGCAGAGACTGGACTTGAGCTCGAGTTGTGTGGATGCGGCGCTTCTTGCTGGTGTCTCCTGTCAGCATGCACCCCCTGACGTGAAAACAATGGCACCAGTCTTCCGTCGTGGAGAGCGTGACATTTGCTACCAGACAACCCTGCGTCGAGTCCAATCTCGTGGTGTTCGCTCAAGCTATTGGAGAATCCTGGCTTCGAGCGAGCTATAGAAATCCACTAATAGACCCCTTTTGCACCCACAGCTGGACCCCGTCCGCAGCGACCATGATGACGACTCGTCTCAAAAAAGGTTCGCGTAGTCTAGAACACAACTTACTTTGAATGCCATGAAAACATGACACGCAGCCGGAGTGAGCTCGACCACATGAAGCCAGAGAGGATGCCGTTTCCAGGGACTCAACACACACTTTGGCTTCGCGATGGTCTGTACCGGTATGGTCTTCTTGCGATGGCGTACATTCTGCCTAGCTAGCCTAGCTAGGCATCCCTCCTCACATTGCCCTCACTTTCGGGGTGATATTATGCATGTCCATCTGAGGCCGGTTGGGACATGGCAGCACTGCTTTCACTCACACCCAACGTCTCATTTTACCCCAGTAGAATCGCATCGTTCGGATTGAATCATTCTGCCAAGACAAAGGAAACCGTAAAGCCATGAAAATCCCGTGCTCAAGATCTCCAATGTGCGTGGTGCGTGGTTGGTTTGAGTGACAGTCGCTGGCTCGTAACTCAGAGCCCATGTCACGACGGCTTGCCAAACTCGGTGCCCCCAAGACCCACCACTTTTATCGATGCTGTCATATCACATGCACGGCTATCCATCTTCTGGCTGGCCTTCTATCTTCTATTCACCACTGTATCTGCACGGTAGATACTGGCTAGCCATCAAGGGCCTCTCCTTTGTACGTACACACTGATCCCACCGAGCCCTGCCCACATGTTTGTCTCGTTCCCCCCTTTAGAAGACTGTCCCACTGCTGGCTTTCTCACAGTACCGTAGCAACTTCATCCCTGGCAAGGCTCAGTGGCATTCATTGCTGCCAGCCTTGACTGTCAGTTGATACAAGCCAGTTTAGCGGTACCGGTACGAAGTACCTGGTACCGTACTTTGATGAGCCGCATCGAATAAGCAAGGGGGTGTAGGGATACTGGTACCGGCTACCGACACATGAATTTCAGCAATTTCAATATTCTGCGATCAAAAACGCACGGTTTTCCACAAACATTCTATGAAAAAGAAAAAGACTCGAGGACCGGTGGTAGATTTATTTTTTGGAAGCGCGGTTCCTTGATGGCCAGCTCCGTTTCCTCGGCACTTTTCTGCTACAATACCCCAACCCAGCCTTTCCCACTCATACGCCCCGCCTAGCTGCCACCAGAGTCTACGTCAAGCACTGTTCTTTCGCTTATCTGTTAAAAATTTTCTTGTGATTCTACTGGCAGCTTGAGAAAGGTTCGAGAATGTCGGAAGAGGAAACGGCACAATTTCTGCCTACTAGTACCACTGCCGACAACTCTGATGGCACAGAAGAAGCATCTACTGCTCACCATAAACTCTTCAAGGCGACCATTTGGTTGATTGTCTTGGGTACCGTCGTAGTTCTGGCAAATGTGTTGGATATAGAAGAGACATCTGCCACTCTCTCAAACCTATTGCAGGAATCTCCCAAACCCGAGGGTAAGAGTAAGAAAAGATACTATTATACTCCATCAAAGAAAAATTCCAGCAATGCAACTCTACAGAGTACTACCCCTGAATCTATCTCTGAGCCGCCACCACCTGCTCCCGAGGTTCCAGCAGCCGCAGAAACAACACCTGCCACTCCAAATCCTACGCATCCTCCAGCCACACCACAACCAACAGAGCCAGTTCCGCCACCACCAGCACCGGCCGATGAATGCTCCAAGCTTCCAGCACCAACTGATGGAACTTGTGCAGCTGCAAACCCTTCTACTCTCGACGAAGGGGTTCGGCATCAAGAATTATATGCTGGTTGGTATTCTTTGAATAATGATGGTTGTTGCCAAGACTTCTGTCGTTGGGTTGGCAGTAGTGGTTCAGGAGGAGACCCAAGCATGGCAATCAAGCATAAGAAATCTTATTGGTCTTGCCGACCAGCAGGGTATACTGCATGTACCTACTTTGAAGGCTTTGGTGATAGTTTCAATTTTGTGAAATGTAAAAGGCAGGGTGTGCCTGCTGCCTCCAAACCAAAGCAAACAGCTGAGCCGGTTCCACCACCGCCAGCACCTGAGCCTGTTGTGCCTGCACCAGCACCTGAGCCAGTGCCAGTGCCAGGACCCCCAGGACTGACCGGTGAATGCTCCAAGCTTCCAGCACCAACTGATGATACTTGTGCAGCTGCAAACCCTTCTACTCTCGACGAAGGGGTTCGGCATCAAGAATTATATGCTGGTTGGTATTCTTTGAATAATGATGGTTGTTGCCAAGACTTCTGTCGTTGGGTTGGCAGTAGTGGTTCAGGAGGAGACCCAAGCATGGGAACCAAGCATAAGAAATCTTATTGGTCTTGCCGACCAGCAGGGTATACTGCATGTACCTACTTTGAAGGCTTTGGTGATAGTTTCAATTTTGTGAAATGTAAAAGGCAGGGTGTGCCTGCTGCCTCCAATCCAGAGCAAAAAGCTGAGCCGGTTCCACCACCGCCTGCGCCTGAGCCCGTTGTGCCTGCACCAGCACCTGAGCCAGTGCAAGGACCAGCAGTACCGGCTGGTGAATGCTCCAAGCTTCCAGCACCAACTGACGGTACTTGTGCAGCTGCAAACCCTTCTACTGTTGATCCTGGGGTTCATAATCAAGATGCAATTGCTGGCTGGTATTCTTTGAATAATGATGGTTGTTGTCAAGACTACTGTCGTTGGGTTGGGAATGGTGGTCAAGGAGGTGACCCAAGAATTAAAGTTACTCATGGGGATGCTTTTTGGTCTTGTCGACCAGCAGGGTATACTGCCTGTCCCTACTTTCAAGGCTTTGGTGGTACTTTCAATTTTGCAAAGTGTGTCAGCCAGGGTTTGGCCGCACCACCAGGGGTAGACCTATCAGTACCGCGTCTATGGATACATGTCTTGAACTGGAGCGAGGGCATGGCCGCTTGGAGGTTGTCAGTAGAGGAAGTCCTCACAGCTGCGAAAGCAATGAATGGGACTTTTGTTGAGCCATGTGTTAATAGCGGTAGGCTGCAGTCTTGTGCTGTCTTTCCTGGAACTCCAGGCGCCAGACTTGGGCACTTGGTCAATTTGGAGGAACTGAAAAAGTTTCACCCTTACATTGTCAGTTGGGAAGAGTTTGTCGCTGCCACTGGATACGACAACAGTCACCGTCAAAGTCCACATTACTTCCATGCATGCTTTGAAAAGTATCCATGCACAGATGGAGACTCAGAAGTCCCCCCAACCTTCCGACAATACACCGTAAAAGTCATGGAAGATGCCGCCAAGGCCGGCCAACAAGGCACATCCATATTGGAAATAGCGAGTTATCGGAAGCAGGCTCTGGTTCGATTTCAGTATAGAGGACGGCCTCTGAAAGATATCATTCCGAACACACAGGGATTGATTTCTCGCGCAGGCTTCCCACCTTCTGCGTACCAACGCGTTGAAGAAATGCTGGAAAAGTTGAACATTCCCAAGGGTTCCCGATGGGCCGCCATTCAATGGAGACCAGAAATTGCAGGTTTGGATTATATCAAATGTGCTGAATCCATTCTGTGGGCACGAGATCATATCAGCCATCGAGACAACATTCCTGAAACCAACTTTATCCTCATGTCTCCCCTAAGCAATATGAAAGGGTTGCAATGGGGTGGTGTCAAACACATGGCCGAGGCAAATCAGGAGACATCCTACCCCTCATTGAACATGCTACTTGATGCTGGGTTCAAGAAGTTGGAACAAACCTTTGGGGCAGATTTACCTGATGGAGGGCTCTTGGCTATATACGATTTCATCCTTGGCCAGACTGCTACGTCGTTCACCACTTGCAGTGGTTGCAGTGCAGCTTCGTATTGCAGCCAATGCAACTATCAAGGAGCGGCATCACAATTTGTTTTGGACATTCGCGGTCAGTATCAGAAAGCAAATGAAGGCACTGAGTCTTGCTGGCCACATGGAGTCTGAAAATGACGGAGACATGTCCACGTCCTCTTCTGAAGGGCAATCTGTAGCCTGTCTACCGGGTAGTACACTACTACCTGAGAAAAGAGAGACGAATTGTAACTAATGCAAAAGGAAATCCGGCTGAAACAATAGGAGAAACTATCTTCGGAAGCCTTCTGTTTTTCCCCTTCAGTATCAGGTACGGTAGCACTCTTGTCGCTCTTTCAAATCCTAGCCAGCTAGATCTCCGTTAGAGATTTGTGTTGAAAACGCGCGTCTGTTTTGCTGACGACTTGCAACACGGCCACCATCCACGATTTCTGCGTTGAGCACTTCTTTCATTCGTTTCGTGTGGATCTACTGGCAAGCTTATTTTGGACCGTGGACATCCAAAGCCATCGAATATTTCCTCTGCTGCGTCCAGAGATAGCTCGATCATAAAAAATCAACTCTCGCAAGCGGCAGCTCTTCTCGGTTCCTCTGCATTTCGCTTCATCTCATACCATCTATCTAATCTCATTCAGCCAATCTCCCGCCATGTCCCCCGCCAAGAAACTAACAACAGAACAAAAGATAATCAACGCTGCTGCGACTCTGTCTCGTCGTGGCAAGACCAAGCACGTGTGCCGCAAGAAAGTTGCTGCGATGTGCGGTTTCAACAAGGAAACCAAGAGCTACGGGAATTGTTTGGGAAATCTCAAGAACAAGAAGAAGTTTATTGCATACGACAAGGAGACCATCGAACTCTTACCAGCTGGAGAAGAGAATGCCGAGCCAGAGGCCGAGTTGGGAAGCAATGCGGAAGTCTTGGAGGCATGCAAGGCAAAAGTCACGGGAGGCAAGCCCAAGCAAGTGTTGGACATTCTTTCTGACGGTCGCACTTACAGTCGGGCGAAAATTGGAGAAATGATTGGTTCGGACCATACCAAGAAGAGCTTTATTAATATTTTGTCACCTCTGAAGAAACCAGGCTACATTGAGTATGTGAAGGACGAGAATGACGAGCCAGCCCTTCGTATGCACGACGACATGTTTCCTTTTGGTGGTCGTCCCGGAAGCTCGTCAAGTGACGAAGACGCCTGAAAATTTCCTTCGATGAACTCGTCACGGTCACGACTACTCTCTCGAACTCTCTCTCTCTCTCTCTCTCTCTCTCTCTCTCTCTCGGAATATATTGTATGCAAATATACTACGCTGGTTCTATTCTATAATGCATAGCTAGACACAAGCTAGCTTTCGTACCGTAACCATCAGAGCATTTCGCGCTGGTGCCTCATCGCGATAAGACTTCTAAAGCACACTGAAAACGTGGCAGCAGAACGTGGAAAATCTAGCTGAGTCACGGATGTCAACCAAAACCCAAAAGATACGAAGATACCACTCAGGCACCTGTCCCCATGATCTCCACAACTAACTTGAAAGCGGCGAAGGTCAATGCCAAAGGCCAACAACAATCATATCAACAATGCGAGGAGGCAACCTCAAGATGAGCTCTGACTTTACCGGTGCAGCGTCTTCCTTTTTCGGCAACACGAGGACAGCGGCCTCTTTGGTCCTTGGCACTTCTCTCGGGGCTCTTTTTGCCCTTTCCAGTTTTTCGAATAGTAGCAGAACACCTTTGGAGTTTTTCATGGTCAAAGCCTATCGATTGCTGACATGGACCGCCTTTGTGTTATCTCTCAACTGCGTGATTACCTGCACGGTGGCGTCTGCTGGAATTCTTCATGGCAACTTCAACCCCATGGCCGAGACGGCCACAGAGTTTTTGTTGCGAGAGTTTGAGTACGAGTTTGTCGCTCTCAATTGGTCCATGCTGGTGACACTGCTCATGTTCATTGTCTTGGTGACAACGCGGATGCTATTAGAATTCAATCTCTTGAGCGATCCTAACCGCAGTCAAACGGCCAAGTTTGTGGTACTGAGCGCTGTGGCCCTTTTGGCCCACTTGCTTTCGTACATCAACTCGACTCTGTGCTGCTGGTCCAATCTATGGGAAATGACAGTCCACATGGTACAAGTCGTGTCATCCGATACTCTTAAAGAACCTTCGTCCATGAAAATTCTATCAGCCGTTGCCGCCTGTGGTTCTATTTACTATGGATTGAGTGCGGCATTGACGCCCCACACTCCACCCGCGGCTACGGAACAAAAGCCAAAGGCAGAGTGAATGGGCACTGAAGGTGGGGAAAAGCAACAAACAACAGTGCGTTCGTTGCAAGAGCATGTGGGTGTTCCACACCGTCGACGATTCGATTTGATGCTCTCAGGTGCAACTCGACTCGACCATGTGGTCAACTGCTACTTTTGTGGAATGACTCATGATTGAGAGAAGCAGAGACGGTTGCTTTTACAAGATAACTCCGTCCTTTGGAAGTCATTATGGACATCAGTTGCCGCAGGACCAGTGTGGGTGATCCCCTGTAATATTTGCCGCTGGATGCTGAATATATTCGGCTTTTAAAAGTGTTTTACAATACATAGGATGTCCACTCTCCCACACCTACGGTAGTCAGCGATACCTGCCTCATTCATAAACTCATAAAGTTCTTGCTCGTGTCTCCAAGATAGTTTTGAGTTCGTCCGTCAAAGGAACCAATTCTGTATCGTCGTCAAAGTCCTCCGGATCCTCCTCAAAGTCCAATTCCTCATCAGCCACGGACAAGCTGTGATGTGGCGTCTCAGCTTTGTTCTCTTCCACTGTCGTCGAATTTTCTTCTTTCATGGCGAGTGGGAAGTTTGCATCGGCTGCTGCTGTTGCTGCTACATTAAATACGCCTTCAAAGCCTCAGCCCCAGGACCATCCGGTGGGCCCACTGGCTAGGGTAGCTAGCTAAAGAGGGATCCAAGCGCAAATTCCAAGAAGGATTCCATTCAAGCTTATCAACTCCCCTTATCTCTCTCTACACTGTCATCAACTCCCACTATAGCTCAGATAGCCACACTCAGCCAAATTCATATCTCAACCAAAGGCATATCGACATGAGGATAGATTCGAGGAGCGGCAACAAGGACATTGTGATGAAGTAAGTGATGAAAGGATTGCCACCGCGAACAGCACAACCGGCCGCCCCAATATTTCATGCCGGCTGGTGGGGCCGGATGTCCGTTCCGAACTGGCCACGTTACATTATCAGTCATGAAGAAACGGGACTTTACTAACACGAACCAGAGAGCTGATGTGTTCTTTTGCTGCCTTCTCACAGAACAGTTGCGAAGAGCACACACACAAAACCAAACCACCATGACCTCTGCACCGCCGCTCCTCTTTCTGTTGTCTCTGCTGCTGGCCTTGTCGGCCACCCAAGCGCAGAAGAAGAAGGCTGACAATCCTCTCTTGCGTGGAATTCAAGGCAAACTTGGGAGTATCAGTACCAGTATTAATAGCAGCAAGAACCACACCAAGTCGTTTTGTGATCGAGTCAACACTACGGGAATTTCCAAGGACTGCTCTTGCCGCAATGGAAACGAAACTGCCAGCGATGAAGGACCGCTCAGTTTTGTAGTAGAATGCGAACGTGCCTTTGAATCCATGGTGTTCAACGACACGATCGGGTTGAAGCTGGTAGTGGCTCCCTGTGATCAAGCGGGCAGTTCAGTTTCTTTCAATGTCGTGGAAAAGAATCACAACTTGGATTACGAAATTTCCGGAATTCACGCCGGTGACGAAGTCAATTATCCCATTCCTGGCGTCAGCGCCATTGTACCTGGAATTGGACATATTGGGATTGATGTGGCTGTTTTGATTTTTGGAAATCCCGATGAATTGTCCATGAAAGTCGGCGTCAATGCGTGTGCTGCGGTGCGGGACAAGCAAGTGTGTGCTTCGGCCATTCCGGGATTGTCGCGAATATTGCCCTGGTGGATTTTATGGGGAACCTATTCCTTTGGAGATATTTGCACGGCCAATAGTACTAGCACAGCAGCAGCAGCGGTCCGCATGGGCTCGACGCCAATGGAACGATTGGCCAAGCAGCAACAAGGAGTGATCAGCGAGGCTTAGGCTCCCACGAAAGAAATCCATTACCACACTATACGGACAAAAACGAGCTAACGCAATGCGATTTACATGTATATGTTCATAGCATAATTTATATAGAAAATAATCGAATGATCAATCCTCGAGCTTCTGCTGGAGTGTTGATGGCAACGGGTTGAATATCACCATCGAATCCACGTGTTGGGGCCCGACGCCAACTGTCCGTTCTCAGATGGCCCAAACATCGAGCTTTCCAACCAATACACTAATACTGTAGAGATGAAGTCGACCCCCTGACTGAGAATTTCCTGGGTGGAATAAGAATACACGTGCTCTTATTCTTTCTCTTCCTTGCAACCATGATACTTCTGCATGTCCATTGCTCTCGGGTCTGCTGCTTGTACAAAATTGTCGCCAATGCAGTGTCCTTCTCGCCACCTCTGAGTCCTTGCACTGACCCATAACACCAACCATACACTCTGCTACTAGTACTAATCGCAGAAGGCTTTCTACCGCAATGTTAACGAGACAAGTAAGTGTACCGGAACGCAGCACCTCTGTTGTGGCTTCGTTGGGGGTTAGACTACTTGCGTTTAGACACACCCATACGGTACACAATACGTATGAATTGGAGCATTTTCGAGATCTGCAGCACATGTAGCGTAATAGCTAGGTGGGATATCAACCCAGAGTCGTGGACACTGGAGGCAAGATCAGGTCAGTCAGTTTGAAAGAGAGAACCTCTTCTCAGATTCAAACCGCATCTTGAGGTTTCGACAGAGATTGATGTACGCCCTTTGGTAAGCAGCTTCTGGGGTAGGGACCAGGTAGAAATCCCGCAGGGAGCCTCCGGAGTATGTATTGCCAAAAGAAAAGGTTTTAGCCAGCTCCTTTGGAATGAGGCGCTTCACCATGCTCACCACACAATTGAACATTGTGGGTGTGTTGTAAAATCTAACAAAGTTCAGCACTGTTGGATAGGTACCTTGTGTCTCATTGGTCAGCTTTGACAATTCATTGACATCTGTCATGCCCCGCCCCCACTCGTATCCCTCCATCTCAAACACGTGAGTGTTCCCTACCCGGACACATTCCAAGGAAGGAAATTGTGCACGACAAACATATTGGCAACCCCGAATTGTAACATCCACATTCTTTGGATTTTTCCACAACTCTTTCAGCCTGCTAACTCCATCCATGACTACGGCACATTTCCCACTCACAGGATCGCATGAAAACCGTCCTGGCACCTTTTCTTGCATTAATGCTGGAACATCAAAAACATGATAAATTTAAAAAATTTGTCTAGAATTTGATGAATTGTGAAATGATTTGATTGATTCATGATGAATTGTAATTTTAGTGATGCATGTACCATCAGAATTTGACCATGTTTTTTAGTAAACAAATTCAAATTAGTTTATTAGCAAATTCGCCAAATGTCATCAGGGGTAGTGTTGCTGGCCAATTCTAAAAAAGGACACCGGAGGTGTAATAGATATACTGGGCGAGCTGAATTGAAAGATGGGCGGTCATAATAATATTGTTAAAGTTTGGCTGAAGGTAGTGTCATTAGATTTTTCCGTCTGAGAAAGTGGCGTAGTAGCTTACGGGAGTTTAGAGGTGTGCAACGTTGAGACGTAAGATTTTCCGTCTGAGAAAGTGGCGTGGTAGCTATAGGGAGTTTAGAGGTGGCAACGTGAGACGTAGATTTTCCTCTGAGAAAGAGGCTGTAGCTTACAAGAGTTTAGAGGTGTGCAAGGCCAGTCATTAGATTTTCCATCTGAGAAAGGTTGTAGCTTAGGGAGTTAGAGGTGTGCAACGTGAGTCAATAGATTTTTCCATCTGAGAAAGTGGCGTATGTAGCTTACGGGAGTTTAGAGTGGTGCAACGTAGTCAATAGATTTTCCATTCGAGAAAGGGGCGTGTAGCTTACGGAGGTTTAGAGGTGTGCAACTGAGAAAATATTAGGATCCGTTGCTCCGTATGATTATTATGAGAATGCGTGAGAAGAGGGGGTTGAAGTAAATCTCTAACCTAAGGATAACCAACCAACCAAACCCACCACCACACACAAAAGGACACGAGTGAAAAGATATAGGGCGAGTTTTAAGATGGGCCGACATAGTAATATTGTTGAAGTTGGCTGTAAGGTAGTTTCATTAGATTTCCGTCTGAGAAAGGACGTGGTAGCTTACGGGATTTAGAGGTGTACAACATGAGTGGTTAGATTTTACCGTCTGAGAAAGTGGCTGTAGCTTAGGGAGTTTAGAGAGTTGTGCAATGTGAGACGCTAGATTTTTGCTGAGAAGTGGCTTGGTAGCTTAGGATTTAGAGGTGTGCAACTGAGATGTTAGATTTTTCCGTCTGAGAAAGAGGGTGGTAGCTAACGGGAGTTAGAGGTGTGCAAAGTGAGTGTTAGATTTTCCATTTAGAAAGTGGTGGTGCTACGGGAGTTTAGAGTGCAACATGAGTCATTAGATTTATCGTCTGAGAAAGTGCGTGGTAGCTTAGGGATTTAGAGGTGTGCAAGTGAGTGGTTAGATTTTACTGTCTGAGAAAGTGGCGTGGTAGCTTACGGAGTTGAGGTGTGCAACGTGAGGAAATATTAGGATCCGTTGCTACGTAAGATTATGAGAATGCGTGAGAAAGAGGGTTGAAGTAAAACTCTAACCCTAAGGATAACCCAACCAACCAAAACCTACCACCACCACAATAAACAGGTCAGAGATCACCGGGGTTTGCCCGGTATATTAAACAGGGTCAGAGATCACGGGTTCCTCGCTAACACCACTCTGTTGTGCTTTTTATGGCGTGCAGGTAGAAACCGTCTGCAAAGATCGGTTTACCAGCTCGCTGGGTTAAATAGCTACTCTCAAATCTGCAGCTCTGCAGCCTCCTCGACTTCCACGGTGTTCCCAGAAAAAAATGAGTCGAGGCAGCGAAAAAAGAACACCGGAAGTGTAATAGAAATACCGGGCGAGCTGAATTAAAAGATGGGCCGGCATAATAATATTGTTAAAGTTTGGCTGAAGGTAGTGTCATTAGATTTTTCCATCTGAGAAAGTGGCGTGGTAGCTACGGGAGTTTAGAGGTGTGCAATGAGACGTTAGATTTCCATCTGAGAAATGGCGTGGTAGTTTACGGGAGTTTAGAGGTGTGCAACGTGAGATAAATATTTTTCGTCTGAGAAAGTGGCGTGTAGCTTACGGGAGTTTAGAGGTGTGCAACGTGAGACGTAAGATTTTTCCTCTGAGAAAGTGGCGTGGTAGCTTACGGGCGATGAATTCCGTTAGGAACTCAGCTGGTAGGTGCACAAGGGGCTGAGAGTGGAGAACTCTGCCTGGAGGTCTCTCTCCTCTGGCACTTGGGAATGTGCCAGCCACAAAGCTGGCTACCACTGTTATTCAATCTCCACAGCAATGATTGAAACACTACTCTTTGCCTTGCACAATCCACACAGAAGGCTTCACTGTGGGGAAACTAGTGCTACTGAGGCTGTAATCTGGTCAACTATCCTTTCATTACTTCTTCTTCTTTAAACTATGCTAAAATCAACTGAACACAAAATCCTCGACAGCACTCAGCCATGCAGCTTTGGCTCTCTTGCTCTCATTGGCTGGTGCTGGCAAGCTAACTTTCTATATTGGTCTTGGCTGAAGAACTGCATCATCCTTGGGTTATATAGAGTCCTCACTATTCTGTATTGCCAGATGCTGCACTGCTGACCCTAACTGTTGGAGTATACAGATGTCACAGCGATTCTTTCACTGGCTAAACCAGCACAGCTGCTTCGCACCACAATGGGAGTTCACGTAGATTTCCACTCATCGACGGGGGTTTAGAGGTGTGCAACGTGAGACGAAGATTTTTCCATCTGAGAAAGAGGCATGGTAGTTACAGAGTTTAGAGGTGTGCAAGGCCAGTCATTAGATTTTTCCATTGGAAAGTGGGTGGTACTTTAGGGGAGTTTAGAGGTGTGAACTTGAGTCATTAGATTTCTTCCATCGGAGAAAAGTGGCGTGGTAGCTTACGGAGTTTAGAGGTGGGCATCATAGGAAAAATTAGGATCCGTTGCTACCTATGATTATTATGAGAACGCGTTAGAAGAGGGGGTTGAAGTAAATCTCAAACCTAAGGATAACCAACCAAACCAAAACCCCACCACCACACAATAAACGGGTCAGAGATCACCGGGGTCTGCCCGGTATATTAAACGGTGGTCAGAGATCACGGGGTCTGCCCGGTATATTGACGTGTCTCTGAAGGGGATGTTTTTTATATCGGGTCGATGCGCCGAGAACGAGGCGATGGTCCTTGAAATAGGGAAATAACGATAGATCAGGAGCACTTTCCGGACCGCAGGTATGTACTCAGAGTAGCTACTACCTGGTACAGGTAGTTAGTCTAGCTAGCCAGCCGGGTAGCTGGATAGTCTCCTCAAACACCTTGCTAACCATACGGGTAGAGCTACCGGTATACCGTAGCGGGCAAAATGATAGGTATTGTCCAGCAGTGGTACCCGTGTGTTAAGGGTCCTTGCCAGTTTTGCCAAGCTTGCCTAACATGGGATCCCAATCACAGGCGGAGGCTCCGTAGAACCTGGACACATGGTTATACAACAGATGAACTCTAGTTAGTAGGTCCCAGCTCTGAAAGTGGTTGATACTGCCCGTCAGGTCAGCTCTGTGGCCGACGGTGAAGATGTACACAGTGTAGTCCTCCCAGTAGCAGTAGGTTCCCCCGTTCCCTTCCCACTACCGCACTCTCCATTGATGCTGCCTTGGAGCTGGAGGCCATCATTACCAATCACCCTTGGGATGGTTCAGGCCTGAAGTGAGGAGGTTGCATCTTCATTTTGTCCTTCATCAGGAGGCGAAGGATCCAGCACAATTCGATCTTTTCTCTTTATTAGAAACCACTACAAGACAGTACACCAGACCCTGTCTGGAAATGCCATGACCATGAGGATGACCCTCTGAGCACAAAGGGTCTACCAAACCGGTTGACTGCATTGTTGCCGTTGCAACGGTCTTCGCCAAAGCGACCGTTGTAATCGGCAAACCCTTCCCTCGGCATTGGTGTCCACAGAGAATTCAACATGGTGTCATCTCTTGCATGAACTGAGGCAAGCAGAGTTAGCAATGACCACCGAAACAACTTAACTGATCAACCATGGAGACTGGAGACAAGATCACGTCCCTTTTGACCATTCCGTAGCTTATTCAGCATCATCCAAAATCACCGCCCTCAACTATTTGCCATGCCGCCGATATCATCTGTTTGTTACCTGAAACGAGAAACGCGGCGATCATTGGCCATAACACTCGCCATCTTTTCCCTGGTTGCGTATGATTTCGCCTTTGTGTTCTTGCTGATTCTACCATTGGTCGAAGGCGGCGTTTGGAGCAGCTACGATAGTGGCCATTGCGAAGGCCTTTGTGAAAACAGTCACCAATGTGACCATACCATGGCCGAGCGACCTGTCATTCAACAACCAGTCAACACGTGGACCAATCTAGCCTTTATTTTGGTAGGCATTTGGCCCATTGTTGCCATTCGACAAGATATCAGCACGGTCGTCTTTTTCCTGGTCAAGACATTTGTGGGAATCTCCAGCTTTGTCTTTCACGCATCCATTACAACATTTTGGCAACACCTGGATGCGGCAGCGGTACAAACAAGTCTCTGCACACTGGTCTTCCATGGCATCCACTGTGTGTCTGCGAGAAGAATATCGTGGGCTTGGCTCGCACCAATCAACCTCGCCACGGCGATTGTCCTTTGCGTCTTCAAAAAGGAAATAGATGACGAAGTTGGACATTTAAACACCTGGATCTTCTTCGTATCGGTCCTTCTCTTCCTGGCGTGTTGCTTGCTCTGTGCTAATGGTATACAAATATTCCGTCGACGTCAGCCAGGGGGAGAGGAAATGGCAATGCTGGGAGATGATGACCAAAGTCAAGGAACTACGTCATCTTCCGAGCAACTACCCACTTCGAAATGGAAATCCTGTTTCTGGATGCTGGGGACGGCCATGGCACCCATGATCATTTTTGCTGGCGCAGTCGTCCTGAACCGGTTCAGCAAAAATCGATCTCTGTGCGACCCTACCAGCCCTTTCCAGGCGCATGCTGTATGGCACGTTCTCAATGCCATTGCTAGTTTATTGGTATGGCTAGCCTTTGACAACTATTGCTTGACAACAAGACCGTCACACCTTGATGATGATGATGATGATTGGAAGGTCAGCATCAAGGAGGAGCCCGCGTCACCACCCAGCATTCCAGCAGAAGCACTTGGTGAGATTGGCAAGCTTCGTGACGAATTTCACAAAGCTGTCGCCAAGGTATTGACAGACGAAGGATTGCCTCCACTGAACGCGGCCCAATTGCAGGCCATTGCCGTTGTGTAGCGCCTGGCTGGTAGTCGAACTGGGAATGATTCAAGAACTCAAATGCTTTTGCTACCAGGTGAGCGTATGGTAGGACACAGTCTGACGCAATGCAAGGCTTTCACACAGCCCAACCAATTTACTGAACACTTTCCATGGAACATCAACCTTCACTTTGTTTGATTTGAATCCATGCATTCTTATCATTCAAGTCAAGCTTGTTTATTACTGCTTTGTTAGAACCTGCATCATATGCCAGGAGTGGAACGTGTACTCTGAAACTTCCTCGTAGTAATCCTTGTCAAATGTCACCTTATATCCAAGACGCAGGTAGAATTGAACATTCCGCTCCAGCTGTGTTGTAAACTCAATGTGAATCTGTGGATTTTCACCGGGCATTTTGTTGACTTTTTGTTGTTCCTCTTCGAGGACCGATCTCAAAGCCTTGCTTCCTAGACCCCGTCCTTGGAAAGAAGGAAGGACTGCCATGCGTTCTAGCTTAATCATGTAGACTTTTTCTGATTCTTCTTGATTTCTGCTATCTAGAGGAGTGGTCCCATCATGAGTGCCAATGTTGCTTCCGTCTGCTTTCATGGAATCAATTAGGTTCAACAGTCGCTGGAGTGTTGGGAAACCAAATCGAAAAGGTACCTCCCACAGGCCTGCAGTGAGCATTTCCCACATGCTCAAATCAGAGTGCTCCAGTGGGGTCCACAGAAAGCAACAGAGAACCTGGCCGGTCTCATTATTCAAAATGCCTCTTAGCACTGACGGGGATTTTCCCATGGTCAGTTTCAAGTTTCGTTCGAACAACCATTCCAACGAGTTTCTTCGATACGCCTTCGTGCCTCGGAAGACGTATCTGTATGTCGGATCATCTGAGAAGGCTTCAGCAATCACCTTGGAGCATTCCTTAATGTAAGAGGCGTCCAGTATCTTCAGATCACTAATACTATAGGTTGTGTCGGCCATCGTCATGTGTACGGGAATGTCGAGTTGCGTTACATGATCTTGTTGGCTTTTTGGCTCGTTGGTTTGCAACGGTAGTAATAAGCCAGTGCAAACTGCAATAAAAACATCTGGCGAGAAACACCGGTACCACTGGCAATCAACCTTCTTGTGGGTCTTGAGCGTCAGGCTGCCAAAGCTAGCTAGTAGGGGTGTGTTGTTAACTTAGGAATTACACTTTCCCGAAAGGATTATGTTGTATGTTTAGATTTGAAAATGGTATATGCAAGCCTCTTGCTAGGGCTTGCCTTTAACCGTTTGTGAGTAGATAAAGGAATGGATGAAATGCATCTTGACATGTATGTGTTTGTGTGTTTTGTGTTTTGTGTGAGAGCGATAGGGCTCCCTTTTTTGGTGTTTCTGGTATTATTGGTTTAGGTAGCTGAGACCCCGAATGACCCAATTCTCCATCAGGTTGCGTTCATAGTTCTGGTCGTTTCGAGGTTGGACTTGGTCCGTCGCCGCTGCGGTCCGGGCGTTCGCCACACTTGCTATCCATTGTTGTTTTGTCTGTATTTGTCTGCTCCAGAAGGGAGTCTAGGCCATGTCGAAATAGGGTGTGAAGCAACCTGTTGAAGACGTCTTACTGGTTTCGGTTCTTTGTACCACCAAACCGTGAAATGAGATGGTATACATTGTATCCTACTTAGCCTAGCTGGCAGTCTAGCTATTAGACTACTTGCTTCTGATTGCAAAGCAATATAAACCTGCCAGCCAGCAACTTGACTAGTGCCCAGGCTACAAAGCACAAACAATCATCTGCCTTGCCCGGAGAAGCCCTAATAATTCTGGGAGCTAGCTAGGAAACTAAGCCATTTGTCACGTTGCCCGCTCCAGGGATGGGACGGTCCTATCCGAGCAACAACCATTAGAAAACTGTGAGACTATACCATGGCTGTTGGGCTATACAATTTCAGCAAAGACTGAGTGATTAAGTAGATTTGACTCTTGAGCTTCCAATCGCCAGCGACGGATTCGCGATGGGTTGCTGGAAGGGAAAACATGAGCATTTTATCTACTTTTGATTCAAAGTCCTAACCTTACCATATATATAATGTTAGTGCCCTCCATCATGAGACCCAGGGCAGCTATTGTCCCGTAGCCACTGAATCACCTCGATTTGGTTATGCATGCAGGCAACTCGATATGTGTGTTCATTCCATGGACAGCCATTTTCATGAGCCCACTTCAAAATTTCCAAATGGCCATTTTTAGCAGCGTTGACACATGTAGCTTCATCCCATGAACAACCATTTTCACGAGCCCACTTTACAATTTCTAAATGGCCATTTTCAGCAGCAGAGGAACAACATGTCATTTCATTCCATGGACAACTATTTTCACGAGCCCACTTTACAATTTCCATATTGCCATTATCAGCAGCAGCCTTGCATGTATATTGATTCCATGGACAACCTTTCTCACGAGCCCACTTTAAAATTTCCAAATGAGCAAATGCAGCAGCGGATGTAGATGTATCTGCATTCCATGGACACCCATTTTCACGAACCCACTTTAATACTTCCAAATGTCCACCTTCAGCAGCTTCAACACATGTCAGTTCATCCCATGGACAACCATTTCCGTGAGCCCATTTTAAAATTGCAAATGTCCATTTGAAGCAGCAAAGCAGGAAGTCCATTCATTCCATGGACAACTCTTCTCTCTTAACCATTGGAGAATATCCAAATGTCCATTTTTAGCAGCACCTGCACATGTCCATTCATTCCAATCACAACCATTTTCATGAGCCCACTTCAAAATTTTAAAATGTCCACCTTCAACAGCTCTAGCACATGTATCTACATCCCATGGACAACCATTCTCTCTTAACCATTGGAGCATTTCCAGCTGTCCATTTCCAGCCGCTGATTCACATGTCTCTTCATCCCATAGGAATCCTTGTTGGCGTGCCCATTGCATGACCATAATATTTCCAATTTTGGCAATTGCATTGCAAACATCATCATTATCAGGTGTTTTGCTGATGGAGTTGTCCTCGAGCCAGTATTCTGCACGTGACTGATTACAGAATGTTTCGCTGTAAAGAGTGTCGGTGATTTCTGGAGAGCGACTCTCATCCTCTGGGTTCTCCTTTACCATTCTTGGATTTTTTTTAGTTCAATTGTACAGTAGTCTTTGTACAGCTGATTAATCTTCTTGTTGACAGCTCCTACAAAAGCATACTGTCCAACACCAACAAACGATAGAATCTGGCCAATCCAAAGTTCATCATCAGCCAACGGAAGAGGAGGCTGGGTAGCAGCTTCGTCATTAGTAGCAGTATTAGTATCCATAGCACAGTGAATTGGTTGGGATGAGACTCATGATTTGTGGTTGTGGCCAGGAGGTCATCCAGTCATCGTAATGGTCCTCAATTTCTTGCCCCTGATCCCACAGAACCTAGTCCTGAATTTCGACTGTTCTTTGCTTAAGCCTGGCCTCGGCTAATTTCCCTACGCTAACACCCCCTTATATATCAAAAAATCGTCCGATCTGGTCTCTTTGGCGGCGTTTGCATGGTGGTAGGTTGAGGTCTCAACCGATGATTACCCAGGCTTGCTGCCTTTTCAGAAAGAAGGGAGTTGGGGGAACATGGTTTGGACACAGTGACGTCATTGATATCCAGTTGGTGGCCTTTCAGTTTTGGATCTTTCTTGGAGGCTGAGGTAAGAGAAACCAAAACAGAACCATGGTTGTCAGCCTATAGTTAGTGCCTTGTAGCATCCACAATCAATCCCGACCTTGTTTCTCTCGCTGGCTACCGGTACTGTAGCCATCAAGATGGAGATTCTTCGGCTCCTGTCTTCGTCCCTTTTGCTACTACTAGGATTGAACTTGAATTCAGTTGGAGCGTTTGTTCCACATCCAACGAATCATCGAGGACAGCTTGGCGCTGTGGAGGCAACGCCTGTAGAGGAAGATGGTGATCCCAACAGTGTTTCGAGGCGACAGGCCGCAGAGCTGACGTTTGCGGCTGTTGGATTGGGAATCTCGTTTCTTGGTACCAGAGAAGTGGATCCTCAAGACTATGGACTCTGGGGAATTCTTCCCGTTGGAACCTACAAAAAGAAAAAGACCATTCGAGAGACGATTGTACCCGGAAAACTATGGACATTCGACCAAAAATTTGGTATTCTGGATGTACAGGTTCCCCTGCGCATGACGTACGTAAGAGATGAATCCCATGTGCATGGATGATTGATTGGTGCTCATGGATTCCTTCTTTGTTTTGTTCAGCATTGTCAAGCTATCGGATGGAGGCCTCTTTGTCTATGATCCCATTGCGGCTACTGCTGAATGTCTGGAATTGGTCAATGAAATTGTAAAGGAACATGGTCCAATCCGTCACATTGTGTTGGGATCAGTGGCATTGGAACACAAAGCTTATTCTGGCGTCTTTGCACAAAAGTTTCCGGAGGCTACCATTTGGCTGCAAAAGGGTCAATACTCCTTTCCAAGCAATCTGCCAGACTCCTTTTTGGGTTTCCCTGTCGGTCGGACCAAATCTATGCCGTCTAGCCCCGAAGAAGCACCACCAGAGTGGAACAAAGACTTTGATTTCCTTTCACTGGGACCGTTCATAAGTCGAGATGGAGCTTTTGGGGAGACTGTTTTCTTTCACCGAGACACGAAAACGCTTTTGGTGACAGACACTACGGTCGAGGTCAATGAAGAAGTGCCTCCAATCTACGACTCCGATCCAGCCCCACTGATCTATCATGCCCGCGATACG